GAGTGGCAGAGCGCCTGGCGAGCACCGTCCCCGGCACCTCCTTCTTCCTCTTCGGCGCCGGGGATCCTGCAGGCCGCGGGCTGGTGGCGAGGAGGAAGGAGGTAGGATGGTTCCGGCGACCTGTGACCTACCACGCCCTCGTGCATGACGTCGGAGGAACGCCCGCCGAGAGATATGGGCTCACGGGTGTGTTGCTTGGGGCGGGAATGGATGGGGGTGTTTATGTATACGTACGGATGAAGACAGATACAGAGATGAATAGAGAAACGTACCCGTAAAAATGATAAAAAGAAGGAAAAGCAGATACAAGAAGAAATAACACTCGTCAAGAGATCCTCGTCAGGTATTTGTTCAAGAGGAAAACTTGACGAGTTCGAAACATTGCGATTCGATTTCATTCTTACTATGGCTTTGTTTTTTTTTATACAAAGAAATGTATATACGTATAGTTAAGCATACAAGCTTAAGGGTCATCATTTTTTTTTCATCAATTTCACAAACATACAAAAAAGTAATGATTTCCTAAGGCCCCTCTAGAGTGTGCAAAACAAAAAGACAAAAAATAATGACCTCTAAATGAACGCATTGACCGTGATAGGTTCTAGCAGACCAGGGCACCTTGCATTGACCTATAGTTAATGAACATGTCCTTTCGCTGTCCACGGGGCTTTCACCACGAGAATAAATTATTCCCAAACTTTAAAATGTTCAATTATCTTTGTATTTTAAATTTTAAAAAATCTCACCTGTCGCACGTCTCCCTCTCTTGATTTCGGCGGAGGGATACGAAGGTAATAAATAATTTGCAATATCTAATTATATCCGAATCGTCATTTTGAATGATATTCTAAAAAGCTAAAGCATTTACCCCACCCCCCAACGTACGCTTTGTACGCTCATGAAAATTATGAAAAAAAGGATAATTCTTTAGTATGGCGCGTGTATTAATGATGGCATATCCTATCTGCCTTTTTAGATTAGTATGTAATAATGATAATGATATTTATAACCGTTATAGTAATGATAAAGATTATGAGGATGATGACTGATGGTGAAGATCTATGTTGATGTCAATGTGTTATAGTTATTTACAATATATCTAATGTGTTAATAATGATAATGATAATGATGATAATGATAGTAATGATAATAATGAATATGATGCTAACAGTGAACATAATTAGAATGGTAATGATAATGATAATAATTAAAATAATATTAATAATAATAATAATGATAATAATATAATAATAATAATAATAATAATAATAATAATAATAATAATAATAATAATAATAATAATAATAATAATATCAATAATAACAATAATAATAATAATAATAATAATAATAATAATAATAATAATAATAATAATAATAATAATAATAATAATAATAATTGATAATAATAATAATAATAATAATAATAATAATAATAACAACAACAACAACAACAATAACAATAATGATGATAACGATACTAACAATAATAGTAACAAAACAATAACAACAATAATAATAACAACAACGACAAAATCAACATCAGTAATACCTTCCCCCCCCGCAGGCGTGGGCGCCATTCCCTTCATGCTGAACGTGAACGTAACCCTCGACTCGGCGGACGTGGCCCTCGGGCGCCGCGTGGCCAGCGCTCTCAGGGCCACCTCGCCCGGGGGACTGCCAGGTAGGGCTCGGGGCTCGCCTGCTTGCATTCCGACCTTTTTCCTGCCTGCTTGCTTATTTACGCGTAAACAAGCCAGAAAAGAGAGAGTATTTACATGCTTATTCTATGTGCTTATTTACGGACAAATAAACGTACAAGCGAAATAAAATACAGGCGCACAAACATACACGTATATATACATAACTATCTGCACGTATATATGCATACATACGTGTATACACACGCACATACATACATACATATATATATATATATATATATATATATATATATATATATATATATATATATATATATATAAATATATATATATATATATATATATATATATATATATATATATATATATATATATATATATATATATATGTGTGTGTGTGTGTGTGTGTGTATGTATATATGTATGTATGTATATATGTATGTATGTATATATGTATGTATGTATATATATACATATATATATATATATATATATATATATATATATATATATATATATATATATATATATATATATATATACATACATATACATACACACATACACATGCCTACATAAAATGTACATACATCTATATATTTGTCAAATACGTACATACCTACAGACATACTCTCAAACAGACATACAAACGAACCTACACCCGGCGGGTCAGCGCGGAAGGCTCGAGCAGGGAGTCACTGCTGAGTCATTCCTTGCCGCTATTTCCCTGTCACTTGGACGGAGAGCTGATTGACTGCGACTGTCCTTGCCAGTAATGCAGTACATAATTTTTACGTGAATCTAGTGTTTTTTTTTATTAACTTTACTTACTTAATCTATTTATATTTTATACGGACTTATGCCCAATTTTACTTGTTTTCTTTATACCTTTTACTTTATTTTGGTTATTCATGCTTTCAGATTTCCAAATACTTTCAAATATTTTTACTTATTCCTTGCATTAATTATATTTCATACTTTACTTACACGCATACACTATATTTTACTTACAATCATCCTTTATACTTTACTGTGACAATATTGGCTTCTAATATTTTTAAAATTTTTGAAGCAGTGCTAAGAATAATTCATTTATAAGCATTTTCTCTCTTTTCTTTATAGTTTTTTATAAGTATTCTACTATATTTTTGTTGTTATAATATCCTTTCTTTCTACAAACAATGAATCAATTTTACTCGTGATTTTTAACTTCTTTTCCTATTCATTGTTTTTTGCTAAATCATATACTTTCTTTCAATTTTTGTTATAACTTTTCATTCGTTTTTCGGTGTTCTTAACTTAATTATTTCCATTTGTTGGCTGTTCATTGTTCTTAGCTGATCGATTTATATTTTTATATCTTTAAATCATTGTTCTTAAGTGTATATTTCCTTTGGTTTATTTATTTATATTGCTATTTATTGTTCGTAACTGAATTATTCGCTTATCATTTTCTCTATTTTCTCGTTTATTATTTTTTTTTCTTTCTTTAACATTTTTATTCATTCATTTTTTGCTGTTCATTGTTCGTAACTGAATTGTTCACTCATTAGTTTCTCTCTCTTTATCTAATTCAACGTTCTTAGGTGAATAATCTTCTTGTCTTTTATCTTTCGTTATTTAGGATAACTTTAACCAATTAACAGGAGTGCAGTCCATGGCCTTCCCACACGAGGGCCGAGTGGAGGTTGCATGCAATGTTGACCTGCTGCCTGCAAGTGAGGCGCCTGCAAACCATTCGGTAGGCTGAGTTAGTTAGTTCGGTTTTGTTTGTTGTATTCATTTGTTTGTGTGCGTGTGTGTGTGTTTGTTTGTTTCTCTGTGTTTGTGTTTGTATGATTGTTTGTTTGTGTATGTGCGTGTATATATATGTTAATATTAATGGCTTATGTTAAAATAAGTGTTAGAATTAGTTTCTCATGCTAAATCAAAGACTGATTCATTAAGGATTTTGTTGTCAGAGATTCAGTTAGTCACACTTATTCCGTTACTCTTTATTTGCGATTTCTTATCATTCCTTATTTATTATTGATCTTTATTCCACATTAATTATTATTTTTTCTTTCTTACTTGTTATCATTCCTTTAATTATCATTTATTTCTACTCTTTGTTTATCATTTATCATGTATTACCACCCTTTCTCTCCAAAGAGAGTGCAACGCGATCCTCCTCTGACCCTTGACCTTGTCTCCCCCCCCCCAGATGAAACCCTCCCTGGGTGGGCAGTTCTTCTACACGCCCCCGGAGCAGATCGAGGCGCGGGTGCTGGAGGAGGCGGGCGGCGTGGGCGTGGTCGGGACGGCGCTGGTTGGATTCAGTCCGGAGGAGGCGCGCGGGCTGGCCCTGCACGCCCTCGCCCGCGCCCACGACGAGGCCTGGAGGGACGTCGGGTGGAGCAGGAAGATGTGATTCTGACCTTCTCGTGGAGGAGGAGGAGAAGGAGGAGGCGTTGGGTCTTCTCTTCTCTTTTCTCTCTCTCCCTTTTTCTCTCTTTGTCTGGGTTCCTCTCTTTCTCTTCTCCTCTGTATCTCTGTTTCTGTATATTTCTCTGCCTGTCTCTGTCTCTCACTCTGTATTTTATTCTCTCTCTCTCTCTTTTCCTCTTCGCCCCTCTCTTTTGTTCTCCTTCTCTCTCTCTCTCCTCTCTTTCTCTCTCTCTTTTCCTTCTCTTCTTGCCTGTGTCTCTGTCTCTGTATTTTTCACTGCTTGTCTCTGTCTCTCACTCATTTTCCTCTCCTTCTCTTTATCTCCCTCTCTCTCTCTCTCCCTCCCCCCCCCCCTCTCTCTCTCTCTCTCTCTCTCTCTCTCTCTCTCTCTCTCTCTCTCTCTCCCGTTCCACCCCCATGTCTCGAATATTTTTTTTTCAATGGTCGTAAATCAAGTCCTTGGTTGTTTTTCTCCTGTGATTTTCGGAATATCCAAACATTCTTCTTCTTTTGCCAGGGATAATAAACGAGCAAAGTTGAGTTTTCCGTTCTCCTTCCCTTCCTTTCCCCCCCCGACCTTTTCTCCTCTTTATTCCTTTCTTTTTTTTCCTTTTTTGTTTCTCCCCATTTCCCCTTCGTCTGGTCTTCCTTTCTCAAATCTTAAAACTATCTTCTTATCCCCTTGCCTTTTATTCTCCTCTCTCTCCCCTTTCCCTCTTCCCTCTTTCGCCACTCGCCCTTCACTCCCCCTTCACCTCGACTTTCTAGTTCCACCTTCTCCCCTCTTCCCCTTGGTCCTATTCTCTCTTTCTTCCCCTCTTCTACCCTCTCTTCCCCTTCTCCTATTCGTTTTCTATCCCTTCTCTCCCTCCCGCCTTTGCCCTTTCTCCCACTACACTCTCTTTCTCTT